TGACTGAGGGTGTCGAGCTCTTTTCTTGTGCTTATTGGCCATCTGCATATCGATATATATATATATTGTTAAAGATTCATTTATGCATGCAAGAACCGGGGCATAGGCCAGAGGTGTATGGGGGTGGGTAGTGGGAGGATTCCCCAAAGATAGGGGGAGCAGAACAGATGTGTTACAATACACTGCTGAGGGGAGCAGCCGGTGAGACAGGAGGGATCTGCCTCTCCATATGGGCACCTCCCTGGCCGGGGATCGAACTTGTGGTGCAGTGGCTGCCAATAGCTCACTAGCACCGTCTTAACCTCTGTGCCACCAGGGAGGCCCTGTCTGTCTGGCATTTGAGTATATCTATTTTGTATATCTATTCACATCCCTTTTCCATGATTTTAAATTTATTTGTTTGTTTTCTGATGGGTAAGTTGCCCCCACTAAGTCTACAGAGGGGAACCGAGGCTCAGAACAGGTTTGTGACTGGGCCAGGAGCATTGGACCAGGCCTCCCGCCCAGCCCTGTCTCTCCACTCAGTGAGCGGCCTCCTGCCTCCAAGTTTTGACTTGTCTCTCTGGCCATGCCATGTCCTGGCCTTGCATTTAAAGGGCAGGGCCCCACAGCCGGAGGGTGGGCCGGAAAGGCGAGGAAGCAGCAGTTCTGAGGAACCAAACCAGTCCACTCTTCCCCTCCGAATCACGCGGACCGGGCTGACGTGACCTGTGAAGAGGGGACAGCCGGCCCTGTGGTGGGGGAGCCTATTTATACTGGCTGGGTCGTGTTGCAAGCTTTCCCTGCCCAGAGAGAAACGTCACTGGCCACTGACCTCACCGGAAATGCTGAGGCATCTTCCCTGACGCTCGTTTGGATGGACTGCCAGGCCTTCTCACCTTAGGGCCAGTCCCTGCCCTGCGTATCACAGCCCCCCCACCTAGCTCTGGACTCTCCAGCAGCCCCTCTCTGTAAGGCTCTGGCCACACCCTCCTTTTGCAAGTTGTTATGGGCTTTATTGTGTTCCTCAAATTATGTGTTGAAAACCTAACTCAGAATGTGGCCACATTTAGAGATAAGGCCTTGAAAGGTAGTGAAACTCAAAATGATGCCAGTGTGCCCGGTGTCCAAAACAGAAGAGGAGACCACTACAGGCCACGGAGAGTGTTCCGGCGGAGGCGGGCCCTGCTGGCCCGACACTCTTTCAAACTTCAGGCTCCACCCACGACTGTGAGAAAACAAATGTCGGTTTAAGTCACCTGGTCTGTGGGATTTTATCGTGGCAGACTAGTAACGAGCCCACCTTGCCTCAGGGGCCTCATCCCGGCACTGCATGATGGACACGTGAGCAGGCCTTGTGAACGGCCCCTCTCCTTAGCTGTCCCACGCAGGCCACCCTCACCAACCGGGGCCTGAGAGGCCTCCTTGGCCAGGGGAGACACTAAGGGAACTGCCCCCAGTGTGGGGGTGGGTCAGAGGGCTACAGCTGTCGGGTCAGAGCTGGTCTCCCTGCCCAGACCTGGGCCTGGGCTTCTCTAAACTTCAGGTTTCTCACTGAAGGAAACCGAAGTGTCCCTGCCCAGCTGCTCTCCCTCCCAGGCTGTTGCAAGATGAGATCAGTGACGTGAAGTGAAGAAGGATTCCAGCTTGGCACAGGTCCCCGGCAACGGTCTTGTGTGGGTGGGCACAGAGATGAAGAATTCAGCAGAAGCGAGATTCTCGGGATGAGAACCCAGAACTGGTCCATGGGGGTGGTGCTGGTGCAGTGACAGGGCTTGGTGTGGTGAAGACCAGGCTGGGGTGCCAGAGAGTGGGTGGGGCGTTGAGGAGCAGCTTCTTGAGCGTGGGGGTGGGTCTGGTTTTGCCTACTGCTAGATCCTCAGTGCATGTTTGTGGCTGGCACAGAGCAAGTTTGCTGAATGAATAAACGAGCCACAGAAGCACGTCTACAGAGAGAGCTCTCCTGACGGCCGTCACTGGCAGGACGGACAGGAGGCCCTCGGGTCCTGCTCCTTCTGGTCAGCTCAGGTCTCCTTGACTGGGCTCCACAGGCCCAGGACTGTCCTCCAGGGGCCCCATCCTGTCTCTCCAGCCTCGGAGACCCTTCTCCCCCCTGGTCTTCTCAGGGTGCAGGCTGGGGACACCATCTGGGACCTGGGACGTCTCCACCCCTCCCTTGTCTGTCTTCACCTGGGCCTCGGTTTACCCTTCGGCCCGGGCTGCAGATTGAGTTGAGATGCGCTATCTCTAGGGCCGCATCAGGCTGGCGGTCAGAAGTCTGTGAGAGGCAGGGAGCTAACCCACGATCACCATCTTTCAGAGAAAGTGAAACCTGGTACTCAACCCTCAACCGTCACTGAGGCGACTACCCCCCCAGGCTTCCCCTCTGAGCTCATAGCTTCCCTATCGCTTCTGCCCCTGAACCCGCCCCCTGGGCAGCTAGTACTTGGAATCAGACTCATCTTTCCTTTTAACTTCATTAGACATTTGCCTTTTCCGTGACAGTGGCAGACCAGGGAGGTGGGCCAGAAAATGCTCATTTCCTCCTCATCTTTATAGGTGCGCCCGTGAGGCCCAGAGACGTCAAGGAATCGCCTCAGGTCACACAGCCTAACCACAGGCTTGAAGCCTAATCTGTTTCTTTTACTCCAAGTACGGATTCTCCCCAGAGAGCCATGTCTGTAGAGGAAGTGCCCAGCTGTGAGCCACAGGCATGGTGAAGAAAGCTGGTTGTGTGTGGGGGTACATGGTGGGGAAAGAGGGCCAGCTGGCACCTCCACTGGGGGTCTGCAGGTCCTGGGGCCAGAACCACACTCTTGGGGCTGCCGGCCTTGGTCTGGCTCTGTGCCCAGAGCCTGGTGCTTACACGTCTCAACAGCCCCAGTGGAAGGGCGGGAAGGGCAGTGAGGAATGAAGATGTCTTGCTCCTGTCACAAAACACAGTGGCTTGCGAGACTGATGCCTCCTGGGCCAAGGCTGGGGGGGGGGTGCCCAGGGCCTCTCTGCCACAACCTCATCTTGATCCTGGGCACAGCCCCCTCCAGATGGCACAGAGCCCCTTGCTCCCTGCTCACCCGAGAAGGGCTGAGGCTGCAGTTTGCCTCATTGGGTGGGGGTTGAAGAATGGGTGAATAAAAAAAACAGGAGAAGGAAGAAGGATGAACTAGTAATGAAACTATTAATGTTCCCAGAACTATCCCCTCCCCTCCCCTCCCCTCCTCT